TAGGGGTTTTCGCCTTTTTCCCTCGTTTTCCTTCATTTTCTCTCTTTGTCTCTTTGCTCCCTCAGAATGTCCCTTCTGGAGTCATCTTTAATGATGCTCCTGCCCTCAATGCCTCCGGGAGACCTGGTCTTCTCTCTGTTCTTCTCCATGCTGCCTGGAGCAGTGCCTGTAGCATCGTTCCTGGCTTCGCCAGCTAACACTACTCTAGATTTATCTTCACTCACATTGGACCCATTTTTCGAAGATTTGGCAGTAACTAACTGTTTCTTAGTATCTACTCTGGCATCTGTTCTAACATCTACGTTATAATCTAACCTGTTGTCTCTCAGAAAATTAGTGGGTGTAAAAGGAGAAGGAACACTTCCAGAGGGCCAGAAGGCAGCGTCGTCAGTGGCTCCACTGCCGGCAGTAGCACCGCCATGACCAGCACTGACGATGCCACTACTACCACTGCCACTGCCCGATGACCTGGGCCCCTCTGGGACACGCGATGCCATGCGACCTTTGACCCTCTCCTCCTGCCGCATGGGGTCCCCGGCCATCACAGTCTGTTGAAGCTGTATCATTTGGTGTCGCTGGAAGGTTTGGGGTCGCAGCCGCACCTCGGGTTCAGAGTAGGGTATGGGTGGGGGTACGAAGTACAAGGGAGATGAGGCTCTGGGAGAGGGTGCCCTGGGACTCCCACGGTCACCTCCTGCCAGAGGAGATGACGAGCGGGAACAGAAAGATCGCGGAGACCCTGAACGAGGCGAACACCTAGGAGAACCTCTTGGGGAAGCCCGGGGAGATGCTCTGGGAGAACACCACGGAGAAGCTCTTGGGGAGCATCGGGGTGAGGGTGAACCCATAAATGAGCTGTGAGCAGTATTGAGGCTCCTTCTATCCACACTGAGCACACTAGTGGGTGACGCACGAGGGGAAAGTCTTGCTCTGGTACTCTGGACAGTACCTGGGCACCCAGCTATAATGGACCCCCCACATCCTCCCCCCACGGGTACCCCACACCCACCACCCCCACTAATCATCCCCCCACGGTTAGGTTCCACACCGTAGCGCAGGAGCAGCCGTACCACTCAGCAGAACCATAATCAACAGCCAAGTGAAGAGCATTCGTGAACACTCCAGGACCACATTGTTGTCAGTGTTGTCACTGCTGCCTTCACTGCGATGGTCGTACCTGCTGGAGAAACACGTTACAGTGGTTGTACCTGCTCGACACACATGCTACAATGGTTTTACCTGTTGAAGACACCTGTTGCAATGTCGTACCTGCTGGAGACACATATTACAATGGTTGTACCTGTTGAAGACACCTGTTGCAATGGTCGTACCTGCTGGAGACACATATTACAATGGTTGTAACTGCTGGAGACACCTGCTACAATGGTTGTACCTGCTGGAGACACCTGCTACAATGGTTGTACCTGCTGGAGAACACCTGCTACAATGGTTGTACCTGCTGGAGACACCTGCTACAATGGTTTGTACCTGCTGGAGACACCTGCTACAATGGTTGTACCTGCTGGAGACACCTGCTACAATGGTTGTACCTGCTGGAGACACCTTTTACAACGGTTGTAGGTTTCTTCAGTCATATACAGAGGCAGAGCAGAAGTATTTGAGGGACTGACCACCTCAAATACTATAGTTTCCAAGGTTGAGGGACTGATTACAATATCTTGGCTTCACTACAACACCTGTTGCCTCTGTATCTGACTGAAGAAGTCTACTGTGTAGCCGAAACGTTTCAACAATAAAAATACCCAACTGCTGCACATGTGTCTTAATCAACAACACGGAACGTATGAGGGAGGGCTTCACGTTTCGCTCGTTTCGCTCCAGCACATGAAGATGGCCTCCGAAATATTTATTTTTAGCTTTTCCCCGTGAATATTCTCTGTGCGAGACGTTGTTGACTGTTCACCCTATGACGGGAGAACATTTCGCTCACTGTAGAGCTTTATCCGGTCAACATACAGCTCCACACTGAGCGAAACCTTGTGCCATTAAGAGCTCAATGTTGGTGAGAGGCTCTTGATCCGATGAATAGTTGATAAGTGTAGAGGACAGGTGTAGCAGACAGGTGTAGCAGACAGATGCAGCAGACAGGTGTAGCAGATATAGCAGGCAGGTATAGCAGGTGTAGCAGACAGGTGTATAAGACAGATGTAGCAGACAGGTGTAGCAGACAGATGCAGAATACAAGCGTGGACAAGTGTAAGCAAATTTAGACAGGGGAATACAGGTAAATGCAGATGTAGACAATGTTATACAGAGAAACAGGTGTAGGCAGCTATATCCCGGTGTAAACAAGGGGAAGACAGGTGTAGACAGGGCAGGGTACAGGTGTGAGGAGAGACGCACCTGTCAAGAAGAGTCTGTGACTTTCTGAGGAGAATCTCGACGTCTTGGGAGACACATCTGCTGCCTGTGTCACACGAGGACTTGTCCAAGATGCTGCTATGCAGGTCAATCTGTGGGCGAAAAGTGCTTAGTGTGGGGGTGGGTGAAGATGTGGGTGAGTGTTGCCAACACTGAGTTACTAACCTGAGTGTGACTCTATGATGTTTGTGAAGATTTACTGGATAAATCTTGCAAAAAAAGTGAACTTAGTAAGAGAGAGAGAGACAAAGATAGAGATAGAGAGAGAGACAGAGAGAGAGCAATAACACACCAACCACAACACAAACCACACACACACTATGTTTGGGGTCTCCTCCCATTTCCTGCTTTTTTTGGCCAGACAGGAAAACCCCCTGGACTCAACCTGTATGTTATTGGACATCTCTCGTCATGCCTTCCTGTCTTTTGGCCAGAAAAATTGAGGACAAGCTGCGATTTGTTTGGAATCTGCTTGGGGTTCGGTGCTAGTGGCCGGATTCAACCCCAGTTGTTGAAATCTGGCCCCGGATACAACGAGGGGAAAACACCAGGCGCAGCAGGCAGTGTGTATTATAACTGAAGTGTATTCTCGTGATATTTACCGTGGGAGGTGTATGTTCTGTGAAGCCCACCACCACCCCACCATCTACATCAACCACACCACCCCCTCAACTTCCATCAACAACCCCCCCCCCGTCAACCCCCCACTACCCCATCAACCACCAAACCACCCCATCAACACCCCCCACACCCACCCCCCCCCCCCCCCATCAACCCCCCACCTAACCACACCACTCCCCCAAAACCCACCCCACTCCCATAAAACCCACCCCCTACCATCAACCACACCCCCCATATAAACCCAACCCCCCCTTTAACAACCCCCACTACCTCCAAAACCCACACCCTACCATAAACCAAACCCCCATTACCATCAACCCACACCACTACCATCAACCACACCTCCCATAAAACCACACCACTACCATCAACCACACCACTCCCTTAACAACACCACTCCCTCCATCAACCACACCACTACCTAAACCCAACCACACCATAAAACCACACCACTCCCAACCACACCCCTACCATCAACCACACCACTCCCTCCATCAACCACACCACTCCCTCTATCAACCACACCACTTTCTATAAAACCCACCACTACCTCCATCAACCACACCAAACCTCCATAAACCACCCATCCCTTTCCATCAACCCACCACTACCTCCATCAACCACACCACTCCTAACCACACCACTCCATAACCACACACTCCCATCAACCACACCACCCATATCAACCACACCACTCCCATTAACAACACCATACCCCCATCAACCACACACACCTAAACCACACCCCCCTAAAACCACACCACCCCCATTAAAAACCCCACTACCTCCATAACCACCCACTACCTCCATAAACCACACCACTCCATCAACCACACCACTCCCACCAACCACACCACTACCTCCATAAAACCACCCCACTACCTAAACCCCCCACACCACCCCACAATCACACACTACCTTCATCAACCAGCACCATCAACCCCTACTTTGTAATCATATGTGGGCAGAATACCAAAAACAATAATGGCTCCCCGTCTATATTGATATCAGTAATGAACATTTCGACCGTCATCCAGATCACTCAAATCCAATTTTACTTTTTTGGGGGTTATAAAAGACCTATATTTTTGTGGGGGAATAAGATGTCAGGTCTGGGGAATAAGAGGTATGATACTACACCCTTTTTCAAAATTGTAATTATCATGGGGACGAGGGGAAAAAAAATAGGGGTCAATGAGACGACGTACCTGGTTATGGTATAACTTAACATACATTTTTGGGATGTATATATTATATATTATATATATAATTAATATATATATATATATATATATATATAAAATATATAATATATATATTAAATTTATAATATAATATATATTTTAATAATTCA